TAAAGTTGTCTGTTTAAGGTACGACGTCATGGACAGTGGTTTCTTAAGTTCCTGAACATATTCTTTTGTATAGTACGTGAGGTTTCTCAGTTAAATTTCTCACAGAATGCAGTGTGGAAGTGTTCTAATGTCTTTAACACCCATTATTGTCTGATCAAGTCTCTTCATAATTTTGTTTCTTTCTTATTTTTTTACGTAGGCATCGCTCCAACTCTTCTATCATTACTGAACACATATTTAAAAAATTATATTTTCCAAAGCAGAACATTGTCAATATTTGAACGTGGTTTGGAGGTGCAGTTACCATCAGGGGTGACTGTGGCCTCACAGCATCCACCTTCTAGTCACGCCCCTGGGCCTTTCTTACTTTCAATAACCTGTAATATATGACTCACCCGCTCCACATTTTTAATAAAACTACATCTAAATCCTAATCATTAATACGCAATTTTCACGTTTGCATTATCTGAATACAATGCCTTTATTTTTTACAGTGTTTTTCCTAGATCGCCGCGATTAATCGTTAACGATTCAATAATCGGATGTATGGACGCGAAAGAAAATGGGGTTCAGCCTGTGGTGTAACGTTGTTGGGATGTTTTAACAGTGATGCAGGTGCTTCAAATATAGCGTCAGTGGGCGGCGCTGATTGGCTAATGGATTGTTTTGGATTATTATTATTATTGTACAGGGGCCTGTGATGAAGCCATCGTCTGGACACTGACATCACTGACCAAGTTTGGTCTGCTGTGTGTCTGAGTATAAGGTGGTTGGAGGAGGTGGTTGGAGGAGGTGTTGGAGGAGGTGTTGTTTCATTGGCAGATCAGTGTGGCGCTGCCTGTTATGTCTCGTTAGATCAGGAAGTACCCCACCAGCCTCCACCTACCCCGTCAGTGTTGCTCCAGGAAAAAAAAAAAAAAAACACTTAACAAACTAACGACTATCGACGTCTCCTGAATATTGCATCAACAACAACTGATTGGCGACAGTGTCACGTGGTGATTTCACTTCTCACCCAGGCGGTGTCGGCCTGAAATATTCTGGATTCAAACGAACATAACAGAGTGTTTGTGTAGGTGTGTGTGTGTGTGTGTGTGTGTTCAGCGGGTTCAGTTTATGGCTCACGGTTCGTCTAATTCGAGCCCAGTCGCGTCTTTGAAGGCAGACACTTGCCGTAAATGTACAGTTAAAATATTCTGGTCCCAGGTCCCCAGGCGGAGCTCCGACACTCCCTGGCTTCATGGTGGGGGGGGGGGGGGGGGGAGGGGGGGGGGGGGGGGGGGGGGAGTAAAACAGAGGGCGTAATTATAACAAAAGGAAACAGCGCTGCCCCCCATTTTTTTTCTTCTTTTTTTTTTGCAAGAAAGCTCCTGCTGCCTATTCTATAGGTTTGGGCCCAGGACTAGTGATGGGAGGAACTGTCTGTGTGGCTTTAAGGTAAACGGTTTGCCTCATAAAACATAAGCAAAAATCGTGATTTTTTTTTGTAGCAGCTACATGTGTGTAGCAGCTGTGTTTTTTATGTTTGGTGCAGCATTGATTCACTATCAAAGAATGCCGATTGATTTTCTTTCCTCGCCCAATATGAAAAGGTGAGCACAGGCAGGAGCAGCAGCAGCAGCAGCAGCAGCAGCAGCAGCAGCAGCAGCAGCAGCAGCAGCAGCAGCAGCAGCAGCAGCAGCAGCAGCAGCAGCAGCAGCAGCAGCAGCAGCAGCAGCAGCAGCAGCAGCAGCAGCAGCAGCAGCAGCAGCAGCCCGGTGCTGAGGAGGCTGCCTCTGCCTCTGCCTCTGCCTCTGCCTCCTCCTCCTGCTCTTCCTCCTCCTCCTCCTCCTCATGCCTGGATCTGTCTGTCTTTTCCTTGTCAAACAGCAGCGAGGCTTCACTGCATATAAAGTTAATTTCAATTCCCGACGAGACACTCAGCAGGCAGCCCCTCCATGACCAGCGGTAATTAACATGGATGGCTAATGACTACTTAACTCACTCTTCATAATTATCTGCGTTTCATAATTCGATGTGTAATTTAATAATTCGCTCTTATTAGCGTATTAAGTGAATGGCTCATTTAGGGGAAATTAGGAGCACTCACCAGGAGCATCTTTTAATTGATGAACCATCAAGTGTGTCTTATTAATAAGGCTCGTTTTGATTTTATTAATATGTCAGGGGGAGGATGACGGTTGGACATCATGGGTTCACAGCTGCGATTTAAAAAAATGCTCAGGGTTATGTTGGTTTTTTTTTTTTTTTAAATCCAATACAGTTTTATATATTTCTAAAATAAATATAACACAACTCTCTTTTTAGCCTGAAGGAGTATAATAATATTTCAAATCCAGTTACCTAAATGACAGCTGACACTGGGTCTGGGTCTAAATTATTATTATGAGCTAATTATACGAATTTCACTTCTTGTTTATCTTTAATATACAGTGCGAAATGAGCAGCTGTGAAAATGGATTCAAGATTATTTTTTTTATTTTTTTTAATTGATATGTAAATATAATGCGTCTGTTGTAAATAACCAGTGTAAACCTGAAAGACGAGGCTTTCAGACATGCTAATGGCGCTGGTACCTGTCCATGGTGCTGAAACGATTGCTCAGCTCCTCACCAATCGTCAGCCCCTGCAGCCACAAACAGCAGCTCAGCTCTGGACATGAATTCAAAACACTACGCTCCTTGTGTGTGTGTATGTGTGTATTCTTTTTTTCTCTCTCTCTCTCTCTCTTACACTTTATGTCTAAATCTGAACCAAAGCCTGTGCTTCGAAGCCTGCAGCCCCCATGTTTTGTGTGTATTTGAATAGAGACGGGCACGCTGGCAGGAGAGCTGGTTTTCTGGCGCCTTGACATCTGGCAAGTCTGCACTCCAGAGACCCATCCAGCTCTCCGTAGACCCCCTGATTAGTCTCTAATAGAATATTAGCATTTGCTCCCAGGTAAGGCAACACTGAGCCGCGTAAGCTGGCAGCACGTCCGCGTGGTAGCCACGTGTGCCTTTAAAAGTGGTGGTGGGTTTGAGAGCCGGGTCTCCTGTAAGGCCTGCTTCAAGACGAGGCCTGAGGAGCATATGGCGTTAGGTTAACAAAAGGTAAAAAAACCCGATATATATATATATAAAATATAGACATAAAGACATTGTGTATCTCACTACGGTCTAGTTAGGAGGCAGATTTTTGTTTTTGTGCTGTCCTCCAGATCCGGTAATATCGTCATCACTTCACACCTGGCATTCGTAAATTCACGTTACCTTTAAAAGATATTTTTTAAATTTTCTTTCTCTACATTTTCTACATTTTAAAATAAAAAAAAATCAAAACGCTCTCATGAATCTAGAGAATCTCATTTACAAGATGCGCAGCCCACAGCTAAATTATTTCCCTCCTCCATCATCAATAAATAAGTAGATGAATAAATAAAAGAATATGAGTCTGGGTGAGCCCTTGTTGCACTGTGTAGTCACGTGAGAAAGAGCGGGGTAAATGTTAAAGATTGTTCTTTAATGAAACACATATTGCAGTTCAATAATTAAATAATTAAAATTACAAGAATGTAATAAATTAACGGTATAATTTAACCAGGAACCAAAAAAGCCAAAATACATTACAGAAATAAGTTACCTCAGCTAAAACAGCAATACAGCAAAAACCTGTACGATATATTTATGTGCATCGACTGATTCCAATGAAATATTTACATTGTACACGTATACTTCCATGAAGCTGATTCTTTTCAAGAAACAAACAAAACCAAAATAAAAAATACTTAAAACAAGGTGATTTTAACAAGCAAGGACTTCCGCCTATGTATACAAATAAAGAGCAGAGAAAACATACATAAAATAATTTCCAAAAGAGAATACTATCTCATATATATCTCGATTGTATCATCTCAAACCCTTCGAAATCGTACACTTAAATTTTCGTGGACTGTATTTTCTTTCATTCTTTTTTTTATTTTATTTTATGTTTTTTTTTTACAGCCGTTCCCTTTAAACCAAAACAACACGTTTAACTTGCTGTTAGAATTAGATTTTCTCAAGCAAAAACGGAGGAGGGGGGAATCCCAATAAATATATAATGAAGTAAACATGACCTCACTCAATAAATAGTTCATAAGATACAGGCCCACGCTGAACTGTAGCCGTATTCCAGGAGGCTTGGAATAATAGTTTTTTGTAACTGGGAAATTCTACGAAATTATTTTTTTGGACCTCTCACCCACTCAGGCCTTTAAAGCCTTCACCTTTATTTACTGTAAACCCCGCCATCATGAAAAATATATCCCACACATTGTAACAAAATAAGTGTAATAAATTACACATTTAGACACAGAATTGGGTGTGTGTGACACTTAGATTATTAATTTACAGAAGGTTTTTTATTTTATTTTTATTTTTTTTGGCAGTAATCTAATATTAGCTTTCGACACCGTAGTGTGTTGTTCTCCCTCATCATGGACCCTGAATAAAACGTCAGACTGCATCGTCGTGAACTTAAGCAAAAATCAAACGCAGCTTATTAAATAAGCTAAAAATATATGTATATATAAACAACAATTAGTCGCCAACCAAGTGCTTCGAGTCTAACAAGTCTTTTCACGCTGTGCACATAACAAACACTGTTTTTCATTAGGAATTAACGAATGCTGCGGTGATTTATTTAAAATGACAAATGAAAATTAAATTTTAAAGGAGGCAGTCCTGTATAAGTCGCACTGCGTTGGCATTAAAAGGTGAAGCATAAGTGTGGAAACAGTGGTCTTACTTGTCCGGTCAAACGATGCTTTTTACTCGACTCCACATCTGCATCTCCGCCAGTCTGAGAAGTGTCTGTTGTTGTTGCTGTTGTTGTTGTTGTTGTTGGTTTTTTTCAGTCAATGTTTCTTTTCTTTTTCTTTTTTATTTTTTTTTAGGAATTTTTCGAAGTTCAAAGCACAGAGTCTTCAATGATTGAAAAAGGGTGTGAAAGGAAGTATATGATACAAATCGTCTCTAAACAGTTCCAAGTCTTTTTTTTTTTTTTTTGGTGGGTGTTGGTTCAAAGCGACTTCACACGCATGCAGAGTATTTCATCCGTTTCTGTTTCTGCCGCTGGTTGCAAAACCAGACCCGGACCACGTTCTTTTTCAGGTCCAGCTTCTCTGCTATTGCTGCGATTTTCTCCGAGGAAGGACGCGGCTGAATGGCAAAGTAGGCCTCCAGTGATCTCTTCTCCGGCGCCGCTATCGACGTGCGCTTCCTCTTTTTCTCCGCGCCGTTGAACAACTCGGGCTTATTAAGTTTCTCCCTGTGCGATTTCTCCGCTTCCTCCAGCCACGCTTGCAGGATGGGCTTGAGTGCGATCATGTTGTTGTGAGACAGCGTGAGGGACTCGAATCGGCAAATGGTGCTTTGGCTGAGGGAGCCCACGCCAGGGATCTTCAGGCTGGCCAAAGCTGCCCCTACATCCGCCTGGGTAACCCCGAGTTTGATCCGTCTCTGCTTAAACCTCTCCGCGAACGCTTCCAAGTCCCTGGGATCGGCGTCCACGTCGCTCATGCCCATGTGCGGCGGTAACCCGTGGGCATGTGCCATGTTGATGGCTGCCTGGTGCATGTGGTTCATGCCCGCCATGTGGGCAGGGTGCGCAGGCGTGGAAACCACCGAGCCATCCGGCCCAGCCATGGCTCCTAGTGCCAGTCCAGGGGTGATGTGGTCGAGCAGGTCCCCTTCCAGAGCCTGGTGAGGCTGGTGATGGTGGTGATGGTGGTGGTGGTGATGATGCCCGCCCAACGCGGAAGGATGAGAAATAGGCACCGAGGAGGAGGAGGAGGAAGACGAGGTGCAGGGAAGAGTGTTCATGGTGTGGTAGGTCGCGTCCGGTTTGAAGGGACTGTGATGTGGAGGGTGATGGTGGCTCTTGGTCTGCGAGACTATATCCACCGCCGCTAGAGCTTCAGCCCGGGCCAACAAACTCTCATCCAAGCCTCCGAATATATTGCTCTGCAATTGCAAATAGAATGCACACATAACTGTCAGCAGGGAATTCTCCCTCCACTCCTCGGTTTAAAACATTTCCAGAATGTGAGGGGGAAAAAAAAAAGCAGAGAAATTCTTTAAAAAAAAAAAGGATCGCACAAAACAAGACACATGCAACATCCCAGGTCATAAAAATTAATATGAGAGGCAAAGCCGACTGAATACATAAGTTGAGTGGAGGAGAGAGAAAAAAAATATGGAGGTGTTGCTGGTGATTTGCTGTGCAGACATGAAAAAAACATCAAGAAAAAAAGTGGGCTGTCAAAATGTGCCTTTAAGCAGTGATTATGCAGAATACGTACCGGTGGGGTTGGGAGACAGGCTCGGCGCATCGCCTCTGAGCTGCTGCTGCTGCTGATGATGCTGCTGCTGTGCCGGGAGGACGAGCAGGACGAGGGCGCGCTGGAAGTCAGCGTGGACGACGAGGAGGAGTGCAGCGACGAGTACTTGGGTTCGGGCAAGCTGGCGTGAGCCATGGCGAAAGGCTGCTTGCTGTTGAGAGACATCATCATCATGTTTGCTGGAGTCCGAGCCTCAGCAAGTTGCTTTTAATAAGTTAAGACTCCGCCTCCTCGCTCGGGGAGTTGAAGCCCAATTGCTTCGCAGGAATCTGGAGTCACTGTCGAGTGCAGTGCAGGCTGAAGACCGCGGTCCAACACTTGAGGTTATCACATCTATTTATTATAAGCGGCGGCGGCGGTGGTGGTGGTGGTGAGGAGCCAACAACGAACCATGCAAGGAGAGCGCAGCCGACACCGTCTCCTCCGTGGACTGTCCTCTCTTCTGTCTTCAGCTATCCCCTCTTTGAAACTATTTTTTTTTTTCGTTAAAAAATCGCTTTGTTCGCCTTGGATTATTTGTCAGATCTTATCTTGGACGGCGCCAAGGAAAATGTATTTTAAAAAAAACAACAAAAACAAAACGGTTTTTTTTCTCTGATTTCTCGACGTCTCTTAGGATTTCCAAAAAAAATCGTCAAGTGAAAAAATGTTGCGACCGAGAAAAAAAAAGTTTTTTGACAAAAGTTTCCGTCTCGAAGTGACCGTAACTGAGAAGTTCTGGCAGTGACAGTCGACACTGTCGTCCACAACCGTGAATGCTGCGGGGACTGGAACTACTTCTGCTCTGAGACGACGCGCAGAATGAGCCTCTCTCCGCCTCTGCCTCTCTCTCTCCCTCTTTTGCTCTCTCTCTCTTTCTCTCGCTCTCTCTCTCTCGCTCTGCTCTCCTTCCTCTCTCTCTCTCTCTCTCTCACACACACACACACACACTCAATCTCTATCTCACACACTGCTGGCAGTTGTACCTGAAAAAAACAAAAAACCTTTTCATGATTTATTATTCTTCATTAGCTACAGCAGCACCGCTGGGGACTCTGCGCATGGGCACTGGGCGACAGGGCATTCATTTCATTTCTCTACCTCTTACCACCAACATCTCGTTACCAGCACCAGCACCAAGTTCTGAGACTTTCTGGATTTCGATTTGTTCCACCTGAGAGCTGTTTATTATCGGTTAATATCACAGGGAAAAGCTACGAGAAAAAACAGCAGCTTCTATCGGAGAGGACTGACTGGTACCATGGACAGCTCCTGCACTGAAGTGCAGATCCGAGACTATTACCACGGACAGCTCCACTTTGTAAATTAAAACTAGTCAAAGTTGGGAGCACAATTGAGATATATATATATATAATTTAATTATACATTTAATATAAGCCTTGAAACGAAGTAGCTTTAAATGTTTTTTGTACATTTTTGTGCTCGTGTCGACGTAAGCATTAGTTTCTGCATTTTACTATTTTAACTTTTTTTAAATCATAAACTGGCTAAACCTGCTGCAAACCACATTTCGTATTTTTGTGTAAAAAAAATATACCAAAAATACTTCATTTTATAGTGTGTGTCGACATTTTCTTTCTCTTTTTTTGGCATAAGGGGCCACTCGGTGGATGGCGGTAAAAGTGGGGGATTTTCAAATAATTAGCAGCATTTAATTGCATATATATACACTTGTCATATCAGGCTATTATCTTGTCTCCCTCTTTAATTAGGCAATTTCATTGGTAATGTAATTAAAACGTTGTAATTAACAAGGGCTGTGTAATTTGTTTTAATGTGGTCATAGAGAGAGAGAGAGAGAGAGAGAGAGATAAATTATGTGACGTTACCAAGCACTCGAAGGTTAAAAGTAATGAGAAGAATGGCTCCCCGAATCTGTTTTCCTTGTGTGGTGGCGACTTGACTTCTTTTTTTTTTTTTTTTTTTTACACACACACTCTCATACAAACACACACACACACGTGGAATTGTGTTTTCTCTCTTGAAGAAACTGTGAAACCATTGTCTTTGAGCTTCATTGTCTCCTTCGGTTTTGTTGTTTCACCTCGTGTGTTCATTTCACTCTCCCCCAGTTTTACTCTTTAAGTTTATTGTTTTAATAATTATAGACCACGCTCCTTCATATCCGTCTGTGGCCACAGCGTCTGCGTCATTTCACGGTGCGCTCTAATCGAAATATTTTTATACAGATTTTCTATTTCCTCACACGCGACTGAGACAAAAAAAAAAAGCTGTCTGTAGTAGCATTTTTTTTTTTTTCAAATGACAAGCGAGCCACCAGGCTGCAGAAACGTGTTCCTCCACAGCGGGACAACAGGCGCTGCTGGAGCCATGCACCTCCACACGTCAGGAGACAGGAGATCAGGCACACGAGGAGACATCAAGGAGTAATCAGTGTCTGCTCATATAAACCGACAGACTGATTTATGATGAAACTTTGAAGAAATCATCTATATTTTACCATCTCTAAACCGCTGTATAAAATTTTCATCCACAGTGTAACATACAAAAAAAAAAGAAAAAAAAGAAGTATATATTAAGTCAAATAAATCAGGACTAACTGCTTCCAAGTCTTTGACTTTGAAGTGCGTTTAATTGAGTGTGTTCATCCACCAAGACCTTAACTTCCAGTGGCATCTCGGATCTGGGATGTTTGAGAAGCTTCACAGAATCCTCCTTAAATGGTCTGTGAAGGTGCGACATCACGAGGCAAAATCAGATATTGTTGCACTAATAAAAACATTCCACTGTAACAGTAATATATCTAGACCAATGTAGTTTTATTTATTTATTTTTTATTTTTTGACGTATGTATTTTCTCAGGCATGTGTAAGCTTTGATAGCATGGTTAAATGCTACCGTTGTAATTTTGGTCTTGAATAATTCATAAATTCAGATAAATAAATAAATTAATCCCACTCGTGGCCTGAATGCTGTGCTGAAGGGAGAGAGAGGGAGAGAGAGGGAGAGGTAGGGGAAAGAAATACAGTAATCACAACAGTGTTTCAGATTTTTATTTTTTTTTTTTTTTTTAAGAAAACACTTTAAAAGGCCTCAGAATGTGGAGCATCTCACACTCTGGAGGATTCAGTTGTGAGGTTGTGTCACCACACAGTCAGCTGAACGTGGTTCCAAGTTTAATTTATTTTAATTTCACTCTGGCTTTTTCTCCTTTCACAATTGAACAAAGTAAAAAAAAAAAAGAAAAAGAAAAAAAAATCTTTCTGCTGCTGCAAGGTGGAGTCATAGTTTGCTTTCCAAACACAAAAACTCCTCTGCGGAATGTTGCAATAAAATAGTAAAATACACCCCCTCCACACTCCCCCCCCCCTCACTACAGTGAGCTTTAATACACAAATAATTCTTCAGCGTGTATAAATAAAGCTGAAGTTAAAGTAAAACATGGGAGCACGTGCAGACAGGCTTGATACCACTCAGGTGACTTGTTTGCTTTCCCCCCTCCTTACTCCCTCACTTACATCCAAATCCAGGATTGCTGCAGAGGTGTCTGTGTGCTTTACACAAAGACACACTCTTCTCAGCCTCCCCCAGGAGCTCTTCACGTTAACAATCCCAATTACACTGAGACCACCAGAGACGGCTGGGGTTTTTTTTTTTTTTCCTCCTTCCTTTTTCCTTTTTTATTACAGAACCGCTCCTTTGTGCTGCCAACAAGGTATCTCTGCTCCTCGACTGAACAGAGAGAAAAAAGCTGCAATGAGAGACCGGGTATAGAGGGAGAGAGAAGTGGAGGAGTGAAGTGGATGAAGTCTCCTGGCTGCTCGGCTGCCGGTGATGCCTTTATTCACAGCTTCCCCCTCCCTTTTCTGATCTCGTGGAGCTCCTTACATGTCGGTGCAGGAGGTCAATGCTTGTTGGGAGACGGCCTCAAAGAGATCTGGATCTAACTCAAGGCAACAGCAAATCACACACAAAGACGGGGGTGTTTCAGTCACCACCGGTGCTGCTTTTATTTATTCATCTGCTTTACCTGGGAAATGTGGCGCGCACCGTGAGAAAAATAGTGGCTTTAATGTGTTGTTTAAATGCATAAAACCAAAGGTAGAACCCTTCGGGGGTTTACTAAATGTCACTAAGTGAACTGTAGATCTCCGGGGAACCGGTGTCTCACCACTTAAGATAATGAAAAAAGCTTTCAAAAACACATTTAAAACAGGTGATGTGCAGCGTGTGATGGATACGTGTCGTAAATCTTCATAGGGTTAAATGAGAACAGCAGCATCAGAAGCGTCTTATTTGTCAGTCACTGAACTGAAGCTTCTGATGTTTGAGGCTTTCATGTGTTGATAAAAAAGGCTTTGTCACCCATTTTATTTATAATTATGTTTTAGAAAAATTATAACTAAAGCTAAAAGTTTTCATAAAAAAGTGTTTGCAGAATGACTGCTTCATTTGTTTTTACAAACATGCTTCCCATGACTTCCCATCACTCCCCTGTAGGGGGTGCTATGACTGCAGTTTCGCTCAGTCGTGTCTGAAAAACGTACATAAATCTATGTATTCCTCCATTTCCTAACTTAATCTTTTTTCAGATTAGAATCTAAATCAATATATCCCTTTGTTAATCACAAGAGGGCGCAATGACCAGAACAGTTGTGAAGTCAACTTACATGTGTTGTATTTGCTGCCTAAACATATTGTCCTGTGAAAATTTTAACATTTTACGTATAAGTTGAAATTGGGCGCAGAGACTTGGACTGCAAGTCACATGATGACAATGTGACTCCGGGCTAAATATAGCGCAGAGCTCCACAGAAGAGTGCCGAAAATTTGAATGACACCCTAAGGTTTTAAAACCTAAAAAGTGAAGTCAAAGTCTCTGGTTAGATGCCTTCAGAGTGAGGGCGGCCATGAGGTCAAGAAAACAAATAACTGCCACCAGTGTCTTTACTACACACCACGTATCCACGTTTGAGGTCAGTGTGGGGGCCACATGAGGGGGGGTGGGTGGGGCAGGGGGTGGGGAGAAGGGGAATTAAATTCTGGCCCAGTTGTGCCTATAGGCTGCAGGGTAGCAGATGATAAGGTCAACCCTCATAATGATGTCACATACCTTTAGGTTCTTCAGATCAATATCAAAAGAGAGGGGCTTCATACCTGACAGCCCCTCAAATAAATCCTGTCTCACATATGGGAAGGAAGAAAAAAAAAACCCTGCTTTGAGATTGTCTTCAGAGTAAAATTGAGATTCCCAGCATTCCTTTGGTCCTGCTGCTTTTGGCGAGAGAAAAAAGAGAAAAAACATTTTGGTTCAAGTATTTTTTTGTGTGTGAACTCGAAGACAAGCAACAGTTTCTGACGAATAATTGTCGCAGGACTGAAATATCAGCAGGTTTGTGTTTAACCTTTGGTGAAGCTAAGGCTAATGTTAACTGCGTGCATTTGATGTAGCATGGATTCTGCAGGATAACGTTTGACATGAAAGCGGGTTCCTCGCGGTAAATCTGGCCTGGTATGACAACAAACGCAGTGAAGGAAAAGGCGGCGGGTATGAGGAGCGACGTTTCAGAGCGCGTGACTATAAAGAATGCGTATGTCACGAGCGATACAGGTGATTAATGCGGCAGGATGACTGCGGGGTTCTGTCCGACCTGGATGAACATCCCTGCTGCCGCTCTCATTAGTTTGACTGTCCCACATGGTAATATAGTGCTTGTCATTGGCTTGTCTAATGGTTGATGCTAATTGACCTCCTTTCCCCCTTTCTTCTGCACAAATGAAAAGATCTCCGTTCTGTGATGGAGCGTGTCACAATCTGATCCGACAAATTAAAAAGCTCTCTGCTGTCACGCTGTCATCATTCCCGGCCTCTGCCTTATCAGCTATAATGATCATTTTTCTTCAGCAGCACCGCGGCAGCACGCTGACAAACACGATATTTAAA